TATATGAACAAGTGGAATGGATTGGATAACCACGCACCAAAGACGATACCTTACACTATAAATTAAAGGGAGACTGACAGATTTATGATCATATGTTTTAGTTAATAATGAAATATTAAGTGGTTATTTATTCTGACCATATCATATTGATTTTTTTGTAAAAATAAATAATAACAATAATATATTTTTACACCAAAATAATTTAGGGGGGCTTCAAAAATATTTTATGGGGGCTCCAGCCCCCCTAAAATAGGCCTAGTGATGCCACTGGCCAGCACCATATAAACCAAACCACARCCAGGCCAGTTGTGATAATCMATCTGAARAAAATGCCATCATTGCCACCAGACCTGGTCCAAATTTGACTGACAATCACTTGCCATGCCAGCAGTCAGCCAGTATTGCCAGCTTGACAGCCATCTGGATCACACCTGTCTGCTATGTGAGTAKTTTATCTGTTAGCAAAATATTTCATGAACTATACTGGAAATGACTGTGTTGTGCTCAGTTAGTTATAACAACTGTAAAGGAATAAAAAAAAGTATAGGCTCATATCTAAAAAAGCAATTTATTAACTTCCTCGCTGGAGTACTTTTCAGATTACGTATAAATTACATCATCAAAGTAAAATATCGGAGATTCTGATGACTTCTGGTTTTGGTGTGTCACCCCAGGACTAACACTGGGCCTCATCTGACCACCCCATTAAAAACATTTGGCAGTGTTCTCACTGTAAACCAACTTCACATTTCTTGTGCTTTGACAATCACTAATAAATAGAAAATGGACCACACTTATGCTTCATCACTTCAGAAATGASCRGACTATCCCTTTCAAGCAACTTCAAATGTAGTATCATAAAAATACCAAGAACTTTAGTATCTATCAGCCTAAACAAATCAAGACCAGAATTATCACATCAAAGTGTCAGTTGCTAAGGGCAATTAGGAACCGTAACTTGTTATCAAATTTGCTCACCACTGCAACCCTGAACCAGATTGTGAGAACTGGTCCTGTGCTGGTGAATCTGCCTCGAGCTATTAGACGTGGAGCACAGAGGATCAACAGAAGGAGTGTCCACTGGACAAATCCTTGTATTGACCCCCTGTTGCTTTAGCATCTGCTGTTTTCTACTTTGGCCACAGACCTGAGTATCTATGTCAAAGACAAAAATAGGTCCACAGAGAAGGTCAGCTATGACATCACACCACTCGGTAATAAATCGATGGGAAAAATCTCTAAAAGCATCAAAAGTTTGTTTCATGCATTGATGGCTTTTCTGCACTGAAGGAGGTTTATTAKTGTTATCACCCACGGCTGAAAGTAAGAGGTAATTGTGTAATTTTGCCCATGTCCTCATGTATGCATTAGTTTGTCTGGAGTGTTATTAAAMTATTTCATCAATCAGTAGATGGATTTCAGTTTAACTTGAATTAATTGATAGATGTACTGTACGTCGACARCTGATTAACTTTTCGTGTCAACCTTCTTTGAGATGGAACCAAATGAAACAYGAAAAATGACCAAAACGCAGACAGTTTTACAGAGACAGAGACAAAGGTTGGTGTCATCACTAACTTATCCTACGAGCACTAAATGTTCACTCAAGGTTTGTTTTAAAACTTTGCAATAAACTCTTGGAATCAACTCTGTTTTTGGGCAAATGTCTGACAAACCATTGAACGGATTTCCAAGAAACTCTTACCAAGTAATTTTTGGACATCTACAAATGAAACCTTAGAAGTCAGCATAATTCACTACCACAGTCAGTTGAGCTTAAAAACACAAAAATGTCTTTAACTTTGTTTAATTCTTATAATATTGTGCTAAAATAGCTATATTTGAGATTATTCCTAACACTCACTCGAAGAGCTACACATTAGGGCTGCTCAATATACGCATCACAGTTTTATCATCACGATAACATATTGCAAAATCTTGCATAAGCTGCAATAAATTGTTGGCTCAAATGTTTGCATTTATGTGTTTTGTCAGCACCAGTGTCATAAACAAGCCAATATCTTGGAGCCAAGATATCACATCAAATCAGTGGTCAGTGCAGAAAATGTTGGACAACTGCAGTGAGAGAATTTGTAGTTGGATTTAGGTTTGATAACTTTTATTTACAATTCTTTGATTCATTTTCAGATGTTTTTAATTATTCAGAAACAAAAACTGATGTTAGGGGTGATTTTCAGTATTTAGAGCATCAGAAAAGGGTTTATGGGGACAATGTTTTAAAGTCATTAAGTTTCTTGTTCCACTAATACTACTGTCTAGTTGCATATTTTTAAAGGCACAGTGTGTAGGATTTTGTCAATTCTTTTAGCCAAAATTGAGATAATCACTGATGACAATAATAAAAAAAACATGTCTAATCATTGCAGACAAAGACCTTGTTTTGTTATTTTTACCTTATAAAAAGCTGTTTATATCTCCATGGTCGAGGGTCACCACAACAGGCAGCCGCCATCTTGCACCACCATCTTGTCTATGAAGGCTCATGAAGGACAAACTGCGGTGGCAGCGTCAAAAAYGGTTTTAGKTGTAATACTATAAATGTAATATTTGTTGTCTGTCATTGTAGCTGGGATAATTTTACTTATTAAAGCTCATAATCTTACCACTTGAAACATCACTAGCCCTGAAGCTGCTGGTAGACATGGCGGTTGGAATTATCAAAGGTTTTTGACACCTGAGAGACACCGTAGCAACTCCTTTGTGTTTGGAAGCCGGGGGTGGGGGTGGGGGGAGGACCAGGGAGGATGATTCAACCACTCAACCACTAGATGTCGCTGAAAACAACAAATCCTACACACTGTGCCTTTAAAATAAAATTGTCATGTTGCAGCGGAAATGATGTATTAGTTTTTATTTAGTTACTTTTTGAGTAGAAAGACATAAACACTGCATACTTAAGTGTTTGTTCATTTATCTCAAGTCATCACAACATTTAGCACTGTTATCACACATCTCAGACTTTCCTTATAATGTGCAACCCTACTACYCGTCGCACAATATTGTTTAAAATGCTGGCATTAACTGTTGGAGTCAACTTTGTCTGGGTTAGCAAAATACTTTATGGACAGATTGGTATTTACCTAAAACAACATAGCCTATATTTACTCACACTCACAGGAATAAAGTGTGCAGTAACTGCAAGTTAATTTGAGAAAATAGTTTGGTGGTGTTTTGCTACATTTATAAGCAATGGTTTGTTGATGCAGGGTATAAGTATTATTTACAGAACAATTATCAGACTCTTTTATATCAATAGTTAGCTTTAGCACAGAATAAGCAACGATAAATGTCAGCCTCCGTGGCTCCATATTAATTATGCTGCATTCCAGTTGTATCAGAACTCGAAATTCTGAAGCTGGACTGACTTCAKTTCTGAGCTGAAAGTGTTCCAGTTTCAAATGCCGGAAAAGTTTCTATTATTTTTCTCTGCAACATTAACTCTCACAATAACAGTGCTCTAAGAGGCATTTTGAGTGTAGAAACAGCGTTAAAACATATATTTTAATTATCACTATAAAGCTCTACAAGTATGCCTGACAATGAAAAATAAACAACTCAGAACTGCTAAAATCATAAAAGTAAGGAGTTTCATGTGCGTGGCAGCCATGTTGAAATGATGGCGTAACGCAYGCTCAGGTATGGTGTGGTTGCGCTGACCTCTCGACTTGAAACTATGACCTCCGAGGACAGCTGGAATGCAGCATTACCACCCACTTTTAAATGACGTTACCACCTACTTTGCACTGATGATGCTGCTCACAGAGCAGGGACACAGTTGCACCTACACCCAAATAGAACCGATCCGACGAGAACCGAGTGGAGCCGCACTTAGCAGTAGAAAAACGTTTGTGGTTCTACCCACGTGACGTGGATGTGTATTTCCCTAGGTGATGATGTCACTCGTTCAAAATAAAAGGCTCTTCAAGATCCAGATTCTTTCAAAGATTCATTTATCCCATTCCTAGTCACACTGAAACACCTGCCCTCGCAATCTAAACAAAACCTGAAATTCAGTTCACAGTGACAGTTCAGCTGCTGAAACATAGCTTCAGCTCTTCAGCAGCATTCAGCAGTCACCCATATTTCTTGCATGTAATGCAATTTTTTTCTAGTTCTTAATATAATTTTTTTAATTTTAATTTTTACTTTTGGGTCTCTGTTTACTAATTTCTTTGATAAACACAGAGCCGGCTCTTGGCATAGGCGAACTAGATGATCGCTTAGAGCACCATCTGCTGGAGGGGGTGCCGAACTGCAGAAGAAAAAAAGTAATTATTTGTAATCCCTGGTTGTAACTCTGCTCAGCGCCCCTTTCAATTAGCTTTGTCTTAAAAAACTATAATGAAGTATTACAGGAAAAATAAACTACTCTACCCAAAAAACATCTCACCCCCAATGCAGCAATCACCCCCACCCTCTCTCTCATTTGATTGACGTTGCACTGACTCGTCCTGCTCCGACACTCTGATGAGGGAGGGGCAAGTAGTGCCTCTCAGGTAGCGGTTCGTGTTGACAAACTCAATAACAACAAGTCTGTATTTCGTTGTCCCATGTCAACCTCTTCGGACGTTTACCTGTATAAAAAGCCTCAAAAATACATAAATTTTGCAAAAAATCCATACAACTCGCACCCGGGGCGGAGGGGGGGTGGGGATTACCATAGTACCTTACACTGTCAAACTTGTTTTTAGGGGTTCAAATTGGGGTGGGTGGGACACAGTTCGGTGGGGGGAGGGGGTGCGCTTCAACTCACCCAGGGCACCAAAATGGCTAGAGCCAGCACTGGATAAACAACATATCTGGCACAAATGGAACCCCATATATTTGAGCATGTGCGCTGTCAATAACAGACAGTCAGTTTTAACAAGTTCGAGGTTCCTCTGCTCCAGCACACCTGTTTAAATGAATGTGATTAACAGGCTTCTGCAGAACGTGAAGAGGTAATTTTTAATCAGGTGTGTTTGGAGCAAGGAAAGAASTAAAACATGCAGGAKAGCGCCCWGTGCGGGTGGTGTKGCTGATGACCGAGTGTCCGTGAACGCCTCACTCTGACGCGTCTGTCCCTTTAATAAAAAGTTCAGCGTCCAAGAAAGTGTCCGAGGCTCCAACATGGATGTGAAGGAGCTGGCTGTGAACGCGTTGGCCCAGAATAAAAAAGCGGCCCTTCTGATCGGCGCAGCCGGAGCCGCACTTCTGGGATTTGGACTTGGATATAAATACATGCGGAAGCCAGAAAAAGCCGTCCGTGTGGGCGTCGTGTCGCAGCTCCTCATTCACCCTCTCAAGTCTGGGAAAGCGGTGTCTGTGTGTGTCGCAGAATGCCAGAAACTGGGGCTGAAGTCTGGAGAGTTGGAGGATCGGTGAGCAGTTTTTACAATTTAATTAGGTTTTTTTTGTTTTGTTTTGTTTTTTGTAAGTGATATCCGGAGTGAAACTGTCACCTGTGGCTGTTTCTGGTTCCAAAAATATATTTATATTAGATTCTTGTTTTATTTCGAAAAAATAAACAAAAATAAAATGCAAAAGTATCAGTGTTTATCTTATTTGCCATCCTGTCCTGCACTTTATTTTTTTCCCAGAAGTCAGCACGGCACACTCCACAGCTGAATYCTCATTTGACCTGAGAGGAGGTCTAAAAGGCTTCCCAATGCTGGGSTCGTGTCCTCTTTGTGGGTCACAACACTTCAACCTGGGGGTCGTGAAATGATCCCTCCAAACGTGAAAGCAACTTTTTTTAAATGATTCTCCACCAGCTTTCAGTTCCCTTTACCATCCTAACACGCTTTCCAGGAAAACAATGAGAGGCAGGGTAGGCTACCAGTGGTTCCCAAAGTTGGGGTTAGGACCCAAAGTGGGGTCCGGAAAAGATTTTCTAAATTAATTACGTTTGCCTTAGTTGCCTAAAATGTATAAATGTAGAATAATAAATATCGTTACAATGCCCATGTTTAGTTGACCTGATACAAATGTTTATCATCCAAAAATAATTGGGGGCACAGGTCTCTGCTACTGTTATTTTGTGGGT